CGTTAAGGTAGTAGGCTTCTTGGTGCGTTCGCCAATATTCCTGAGCATGAACCTTTCTGGGTATCCGTTTTCAAGAAGGGTGTTCTGCAACTGTTTGAGTTCTGCTTCGACAGTTTCAGGAGAGCAGATCCTTGCAAATTTTTGGCCTGATGACGAGTTGCTGAAAACAATTGTTTGCCATGAACTGACTTTTAAGAAAACACTATTTGCAGATGGAGGGAAATAGAGAGAGCATCGAACACGCTCCAGAATGCCGAACTCCTTGATTTTCATTGAGCTCATGTAAGACCCATTTATCGAAATACCGACGTCAAGTGCTTTAGATATTGATGTGACAGACTGACGAGGGTTTTCTACAACAATTGCCACCAAAAGTTTACTGTAGAAAGTGCATTGCCATCGCCCCCCATCATACTCTCCGATCAATTTTGGATCCCTCGCCTATGCGCTGTTGGTATTAGCAGTGGTCTGGAAAACATTGTGACCGAGTTTTAATTCATGCAAGAAAAGTAAACGGATTTCATTCAATTAACACCTTCGTTTTTAAGGGCGTGCATGCTTCAAAAGTTTACACTGGAAGAACTCATAAAATAATTATTAAGGAACATAAATCAGTTCTAGAACATACGAAATTTGGTACAAAACACTACAAAAAAGCGACTGCTTTAAAACTTTAAAGAGAGACAAAAACCCCCACCAAGCATTTTGCGAACAACATTATTCGTCCGACAGTAGCCTTCAAATTCGTATGAAGATGTAAGTGGGAAACGACATGCAATTTTCTTCCAGAAATCTGGAGTGGTCTGTAAGTGTTTTATAAGGTTAGCGACGTGTTAGGAAACACATCAAGTGTTATTCATGTTGTGGTCTAGCCGATTATGTTAATCGCCTCAGTGAATGGATAGGACGCTGACAGTTAAAGACGCATGAAAAGGGAAACAATTACAGCAGCTGGCCCACTCCCTGAAATGTTAACCAAAATTCACAATTGAAAGGACCAGCATAATCCAAAGGCTACAAATTTGACAGTAGTTTGGAGTCTCGTAAGGTCATATATGTCAGCCAGGAAAGCGGACAACCTACTACAGTACTAACTTGCAACACTTCGCAGGTGGCATAGGGATCCAATGATTGGCATTCTTGCAAAACTTCTATTTTTGGCATCAGTCCGGCCGTCTCTGCTTGCGATCCGCCATCCAGGTCTGGCTTGCTCACATCCAAAACAACTCAGACCTACTTATTTAACTTCTTGTTGTTGGACCTGGCTATTTAAACACGAGTTACATTGCAGAAATAGGGCTAAAGAGCAGTGAGCGAAATATAAACGATACGCTTATTAATGATATTAACAGTCTAGAGTGTTAAAATACTTTCATGTAACTAGTACTTGGACTGAAAGCCTCCATCTGGTGCTCTTTTGTCCGCACGAGACTCTGTCTCTATAGAAACCGAATCCCAAGAGCGGCCTGGACGCGGTTTGAAGCGAGATTTCAAGCAACACTTTCCGGTAACTTTAATAATCTGTCCATATTAGATTACCTAAACAGCAGGAGGAGGGGGGATACCCACCGCTCTACGTCGGTCAAGGACGGTCGTTAGGTCACGTGCTGAGAGGAGCAGGGGTGTACGTACTCCCCGCAGTACCGGTAGTTTTGCGCTAAATTCCAGGTGGGTTACATCTCAGGTTAGTGTCACTTTTATGGTTGTGAGGGTTAGGGCTAGCCATGTAAGAATTAGTTATAGGTTAAGGGAGAGGAATAGGCGGGTTATATTTCGGATTAGAAGGGTATGCGTCTTGCTTAATGTTCGGGGTTACGGTTAGGGTACGAGAATAGGTACCGCACTGGAGTTTTCTTCAGTGTCACCTGAAATAAAAGGGTTTCTTACTCTCGGGTCCGACCCACAGCTGTCTTTAGTGCAGTCGCTGCAGAAATCAGAAGCACGCATGCAGCACGCATACCTACTAGTGTGTGTGTATGTGTGATAATGAAGACAAAATAGGTGGGAGGTGATAATGGCTTACTTACCCATAACTTTTCACAACGAGGATAAGCGTTGTCATAGTCTTCGATTGTCAACTGGTAGGCCTGTTCATCCCCCAGTGGAAGAAAGGCCTGTGGATGAGAAACAAAGGAAGCCAATCAACTAGATATATTTGACTTCGGTAACAGTCTATGATAGGTAGTAGCACAGAAACCAAAACTCCCACAATTCTGAAAAACGAAACTGGTGGCAATAAGGGTGAAGCATCACAGGGGGGCGCAGGAGAGGAAAGAAACATATAAAACAAAAAAGGAAATAGTAGATCGAGTTAGTAAAAAAGCCAACAAACAGCGCGCGAAAATTGAAAGGTAAAGTTAGAGGTAAGAGTGAAGTATGGATACCACCATGCAAACCAAAACCCCAACATTCTGTGATAAGACCTGTGGTAATGGTAAAAAATTAAATTTTTCTATTTTAATTTTAATTGCATTTTATTTTAATTCAATCATTTTAATGATTTTATTGATTTTATTCAATTATTTATTTTAATTCGCTTTTCAACTGTCTCGCGCTTTTTCATTGCCACCTATTATTTTTTATAATAACTATATCCAGAATTTTCTGTTTTGCTTGCTACATTTATTTTCTCTTCCGCGCTCCAGTAATGCCTCACCTGTATAACCCCCATTATCACCGGTTCCGTATTATATAATTCTGGGGTATTGGTTTCCTCGGTGGCAGCTACAATAGACTAGTACCAATTTAAATAATAAACTTAATTAATTTAATAAAATTACTTTGTAAAATAATCGTTGGAAATAGACAATAAATTAACATTAACATCGGTCTCGTATTATAGAATTCAAGGGTCTTTGGTTTCTACGGGGACAGCCATAATAGAAAGTTACCTTGACTGTTTTTAGACGGTTTTCGTTTCGCCACTTCGACTCTTATAAACGATTTTGGTAATACGCAGTAGGTTGCCTATCCCGTGAAGTGCCAACCGAAGTAGTATATTGTCCTCTATTCGAAAAGAATACTGAAGAACAGTTGTAATATTTACTGTCGTGTAGCCTAATCCCAAGGTATTTCGCCCAAATTAGGACGAGCTTCTTGCCGATTGCCTGAGAAACAAAACTCTAAAAAAGACGTCTGCTGAAGTACTATGCCTGTTTCCATTGATGAGGGGTGAAGCAACTTTTTGCCAGAACCGAAAAACGAATAGCCAAAAGCTCCCTTAGAAGGTGGCTTTCACTGGTGCCATATCCGACTGAGAGAACGCTAGTTAAGGGAACAAAACGTGGGAAGTACACATAGACGGATGTCCTCGGTGGAATAATCCACTTGGTCTACCGGTTATCACCACTGGAAAAACCTGGCTGTAGGAAGGAAGAAAGATCAAAACAGATGTGGCTGATGTCTCTTTTAGTATACAATCTGTGCAGATGCAAATGTGCATAGCCACACCTATTAGCCACAGTAAGAAGGGCATTCATTGATCGGTTTACGGGACATGCTCGTCCTTATTTGTTTTAAAGCTCAATCTAGAACCTGCCCTGACAGTCTAAAAACTAATACAAGCGGACATGCGAGTCCCAGGAAGTAGTTGAGAAGAAGACGACTCGATCGCTGGGAC